ACCTTAGGAGTGTTGTCTTCGAATTGAACAATTTTAAATCTTTTTATTGACTTAACTCTTTCGTCTCGATAGCCTTTTTTCCGTTGCATCCACAGGAATACCCTTCTTTAGTTAACCTCTTTCTGCTTTGATAATTTGACACACTTTTTCTTCACATAGTTACGATATAACAACAGGTGATGGATTGGGTCGTTACTTGGTGGAACTTCAATTTAACTCACAATGAAGCACTAGATTCAAACAGAATTCTTCAAGAATGGAGATCAAACATCTATCTACCATCAAAAAAGGAGAAAAATCGGACCTGGAAAGTTACAGAGGAATTAATTTAATAAACAGACCACTAAAATTAATCATATCTCTGTTATCTACACTGGGTAAAATTAAAGGACTTTATCCACTTAAAGGACAAAATATCTATTTAAAAAATTACAATAAAAGTAAAAGTTGACGAAGAAGTAACTGAGCCTACTGAAGCTGGCAATTGGATAAGACAGGGAGATTTCCTGAGGCCTCAATTGTTCAACCTGTTTATGGATGATATAATAAAAAGTAAGAACTAAAAAAGGATACCAAATAGGAGAAAAACACCAGCTTTCGAGCGCTAATCGCTTTCCTAACTCCCAGGTTCCAGCTCTGTGGTGGTCTTCCTCGTTTCCTCTTCTCTGGGGGTTGCCACATTATCGTTTTTTTAGGCAATCTTTCGTCCCCCATTCGGCTCACATGCCCATACCATATGAGCCATTTTCTCTCAATATCCTCAACTATAGTGCCCTCTATACCCATTTTTTGTTTTATCACTTTATTCCGTATTCTGTCGGCCCTTGATATTCTCATCGATCTTCTGATGGCATCCATTTTCGTGGCTTCGACCTTTTTCTTATATTTCTCGGTTATTCTCCATGTCTCAGCTCCATAAAGTAGGCTAGTTTTAACCATTGTCTCATAGATGTTCCATTTTCTTTTCTTTGATATTTCTTTACTCCATAGAATTCCGTACAAACATGCTATAGCTCTTCGTGCTTGTACAATTCGATGTTCTATTTCTCTTTCGTCTTTTCCACTACGGTCGATCACCACCTGATCATCTGCAAACTGTAAAGTATATATGTAATCCTGATCGTTCAATCGTATACCCATTCCTTTGACTTTCCTTTTCCATTGTTTCAGAGCTGCAGAGATATAAATCTTAAATAGAGTCGTAGAGATACAACATCCTTGTCTGAGACCCTTAGTAACTGCAAATTTTTCAGCTAAGAGGTTTCCGAATTTCATTTGGGAGTTTGAACCATAATATAGATCTTTGAGAGCACTAACCAATGTTTGATGTATGTTTGATGTGCCCAGGACTTCCCATAGTTTATTTAGCGGGACTGTGTCATATGCCTTCTCAAGATCTATGTCTTCTCAAAAGTCATATGTAACTCTCTATTTGTCACAATTTTCTTTTCTATAATTTGTTTAAGACAGAAGATGTTATCTGTACATGAACGACCTGCTCTAAATCCTCCTTGTTCTTCGTCTTCAGACGATTGATAATCTTCCTCTATCAGGTCCTGTAGTATTCGACCATATAGTCGACTCATTGAACTTGTGACCGATATCCCTCTATAGTTTTTACAATTTCTCCTGTCACCTTTTTATATATTGGGGTCATATATGCTGTTTTCCATTCATCTTGTGTTGGATGTCCATTAATATATCCGTTAAATATCACCGTGATCATTCTGTGTAATTTCTCTGAGCCATTCTTTATTAATTCCGTAGTTACTCCCTCTGGTCCACTTGTTTTCCCATTCTTCATTCCTGCTATAGCTTTTTGAACTATGGTAATATGCTCTCCCAGAATTTCGATTCTTGATGAATTCATATCTTCTTTAAATTCGTCTTTGTTCTCATTTAATAGATGTTTGTAATAATGTGTCCAATCCTCGGGATTTATGGGATTTAGAATTACTTTCTCGTTAGTCGGCTTCTTAACAGAGTTTATAAACTTCCACGCCTCAGTGCATTATCGTCCTCCAATATAAGATTCTATCTCTCTGCACCTTCTATCTCATATCTCATTTTTGAAGGTTATAATTATCTTTCTAGTTTTCTTCTTCATTTCATTGTAGCGGTCTTTGTCTGAGGCATCTTTTGTATTCAACCACTTATGGTATAATCTTTTCTTTTCTGTTACCGCATTTTCGACGTCTTCATTCCACCAAAGCTTGTTACTAATTTTATTTTGTTTGATTCCTAAGACCTCCTGTGCTGTTTGATGAATACTTGATATTATGTTCTCATATATGCATTTGGTATTTGTTAGTGTTTCGTCAAGTTTGGAGTCCATTCGAGTCTTATATAGTGTGCGGGTGCTCTCATGAATTAAACTGGACAGATTGTATTGAGGAAGATCAATTATTTCTAAAAGTTGTTCGTCTTGGCTTGATGAGACACTGTCCTTTAATCTATATGGGAAAACAATTTTTGCCCTGACCATGTGATGATCTGATCCGCATACTGCTCCTCTCATAGCTCTAATATCTCTAATGAGTATTTGTGAATTTTGTTTAACTATCACGTAATCTATTATAGACTTTAGTCTATATATAGTTAATATAAAATAACCGGCAGAAAATTTAACATGTTAATTTCCTCCAAAAAAAGTGCATGGTTATAACAGCAAATTTACTAAGATGTGAATTTTAGCTGGAATGTCAGATAATATAACAGAAGAAGTGATAGAGTTTAAATATCTAGGCATCACATTATCTAGCTACGGAAAGCTCAAAACTGAGTAAGAAATAGAAGAGTAGAATGGAACGGTCATATAAGCCGAGTGGCAACATTTAGAGTAGTAAAGACGGCAAAGGACAGTTGCTAAATAGGAAGATCACGAAAACAATGGAACGACAACTTACTGGAGGCACATTGAAAAACAGACAGGGTCATGTCTACAAAAGAAGAAAAAGAATAAAACTTTGAAAATGTTTGTTTACAAAACTCAGACAAAATTTATTATAATTTATAATCACTACAACTGTTTCGAAACAGTGCCTTTCTCAGTGATATATTTCTAGTATTCGTTTTACACTTTATAATCTGGAGAATGGAGAATCTGTTTTTCTATTCTTGAAAGCCCTTTTGTGTTCTGCAATACGTTTGTTAAAAGTTCTACCAATTTGACCTATGTAAGTTTTTTGGCAGTCGCTACATGTATATGGTGATGTATACAAACTTAATGTAAATATTAATAAACCTATATTGTGATGAATATTTTTATTGGACATTATTAGTGATTTATGTCCAACGTTTATGATATCTATATAACATTTTGGACATTTCTTAGGAAAACAATTAATATATGGCAATACTATAAAATTATTATGTGTATTAATGGGATTTTTCTTTGTGATAACTTGTATAAATGATTGATAATACCAAATTGCCGAAACGTTTGAACAACAAAGTGGTATAATAGTCCCAGAAATTCGGACAAATTTAAATATACGATCGTGGATTGATGTAAAACTAGCCTTTGATAGAAAAGTTTCTTGGAATTAAATCGATTTCTTTCTCAACATAGCCCCTTTTAGCTCGATACACTTAAGGTCGATTCAGACACATCAGTCACGTCTTGTCACAGTCCTGGCGCCGAACCGAACAATCCGTCATACAAAATATTCTTTAATAGAAATATGGCGCCGGTATTTACATTCATCAGGCGACGAACAGATACCCAGCTGTCAAATAATTAATAGTTCTGTGACCAAACAGGACCGGTTCGGCGCCGAGACTGTGACGGGACTGATGTGTCTGAATCGATCTTAAGTAAGACGATGTTCCAATTTTTTCATCCCATCCGAATAGTACGTTTGCTCGAGCTCTTCAAAATAGGCTGAAGTTTCAGCGACGACTTCATCATTTGTTGCGAAACGGCTTCCTCCGAGTCATTTTTTTAGGTTTGGAAACAGGAAAAAATCGCTGGCGGTAAGATCTAGGGAATACGGTGGGTGTTCAACTAATTCATAACTCAATTCGTGTAATTTTGCCATGGCGACGGTTGATCGGTGAGCCGGTGCATTGTCTTGGTGAAAGAGCACTTTTTGCGTTCCAAACCGGGGCGTTTTCGATGCAATTTGGCATCGAATCAATCCAATAATGCTGCGTAGTACTCATCATTGATTGTTCTTCCTTTTTCCAAGTAGTCGATGTGAATGATGCCCTTCGCATCCCAGAAAACAGTCGCCATTACTTTGCCGGCCGAATGTGCACTCTTTGCCTTCTTTGGCGGCCCTTCGCTACGTTTGCGCCACTGTTTTGACTGTTCTTTGGTTTCCGATGTGTAATAATGCACCCAGGTTTCATCAACGGTGATATCGGCGAAAAAAATTCCTTCGGATCGCGCCGTATCATCGCCAAAAGAGCCTCCGAAGTTATCACACGTTTTTACATTTGATCGATTGTCAGCAAACGCGACACCCATCGCGCGGATAACTTTTTCATGTCCAAATGATGGTGAATGATATCGTGTAAGAGTTCGTAGGAAATGTTTAGGACCTCTATTAACTCGCGGAGCTTAATTCGACGATCTGCCATAATCATGTCATGGACTTTGTTGATCATTTCTGGCGTGGTGACTTAAATAAACTATTGTCTGACACCATAAACTTCGTCCAAGTCGGCTTTGATTTGCACATTCGTTGTACCCTTTTTGTGGAGGAACTTAATCACCGAACGATACTCGACTTTTTCCATTTCTCCGAAAACACAAAATTTGCTTGCTTTTGACGGCTGTAAAACTAATTGTTTTTAAAACTTAAAATTTTGACAGACGTTATGTCATGAATGGCAAATGTCAACACCGAAACCAATTCAGTATCAAGTAGCACCATCTATCAAAGGCTAGTTTAATATTAATCTATCCTCGTATAATCATTTAATTATGTTACATATATTGTGATCAACTATTTCCGGATATAAATTGTTTCTAATCCTCATTTTTTGTTACTTAGGTCAACGAAATGCTGGAGCTGGTTGGGATTCATCCACCCACCGTACAGAAACTCCCGCTGAGCCTCGTTCTAGAAGAAGTGTCACCGGAAGGCCTTTTGCAGAATTCGATTACGATCCAATGCCTTATTTACCCTCAGCCTACCAAGCTCCAGGAGGAGGTGCCAAGAAAAAGGAAGGCGAAAGCTATAAAGAGATTTCAAGAAGACTGGATTGTGAGTATCAAAATGATGTATATGAATTTTCTAATAAATGTATCATATATATATATATATATATATATATATATATATTATATATATATATATATATATATATACAGGGTGTTTCATTAAGAATTGTCCATATAGTAACTAGAGAACCTTAGCACAAAATACGAAGATTTAACTTTAAACACTTAAATAAAATATTCCTCCTTACTGAGGTACAGAGTGGTTTATTACAAGTATTTTATACTTGACAAACAGTTTACTAATGTTAGGATACTTTAACTGGCGTTAAAAGATGTTTTACGCTGTTGCCAGAGGCGTGCTGTAGGGAAAAATACTTCCTCTTCCTCTCTCACAATCCACACCACTGTCGTAATAATCATTATAGCATGTTTTTTTTTATTCTCTCTCTCTTCAATCCTGACCCCCCAGGGGGAGTGTAGTGGTCGACGTGATGTCGTGTATTGTCCGTCTCCAGAGATCTCTGTCTCTGGTCATTTCTTTTAATTCATGCATAGGTCTTTGGCATATTCCTGTAATTTGAACTTTCCATCTTGTTGGGGATCTTCCTCGTGATCTTCGGCCTTCTACCTTTCCTTGTATTCTGAGTCTTTCCATGTTTTCTGTGTTTGCTCTCATAACATGCCCAAAATATTTTAATTGTTGGAGATGGACTTTACTAGAGAGTCGTTGGCTAACTTTTAGCTCTCTTAAAATTGAATTATTTGTTCTACGGTCCGGTCCAAGGAATTCGTAACATTCGTCTCCAACAGAACATTTCAGTGGCGTCTATATTTCTTCTCTCCGATTGTCTCAGAGTCCAAGATTCACATCCGTAGGTCAGTATTGGGAATATTAAGCAGTTGATCAACCTCATCTTTATAGCTCTTGAAATTTGACAGTCCTTCCATATTTTGGTCATTTTTGCTGTGGCAACTTTTGCTAGATCAGATCTACGTTTAATCTCTTCTTGTAATTTTTTTTTTATTATTTTTACGTAAATATCATCCTTGTGTTTCAATGCGATAGAGTAAGTAGTTTTCAAGTGATTTGCGTTTAAAGGATATTGGCGATAAAGAAATTAGTGATCACGATACTGATACTGAGCAAGAGATGGAAGAAGAAAATGAAGATTGTGTCGACGATTATCGCGAAATTAATAATATTGATAGGCGTTATTCAGTTGCCCAGAAGCTTTTAACAGATCATCGACTTACTGTTGTAGGTACTATAAAAAGTAATAAAAGAGAACTTTCTAAAATTATTTCAAATGTAAAAGGTCGTCCTGTTAACTCCTCTATATTTGGTTTTGGAGAAAGAACTTACGGTAGTGTCGTTTGTACCAAAAAAAGGAAAAAACGTTTTAATGATATCATCTTTACATGACACTAATAATGGTGATCAAGAACGCTCTAGACCCTAAGTTATTTTATTTTACAATGTTTGGAAAAGTGTCAAATAATTTAAATATTTTATTTTTATTGTTGCGAGTATGACCTTATTTGGTTTTAAATTTTATTTAATCATATATTACCTAATTGCAATATGGCTTTAGTTTATTTTTAAATTCTCGAACTCAAATTGGCTGATTAATTATTGTCAAGTTCTGAGAATTCACTTGTCTAAAATTCAACATGTCTTTGGGTTGATATGTTTCCCAAAAAATGTAGTGTAGATATGGCTGATAATACAATGGTTTCATCGTACAATGTTGCTAGAAATACTAAGCGCTGGCCATTAGTTATTTTTTATGGAATTCTCAATGTAGCTAGCGATAATTCGTCATTATTACTAGACAAAATAATCAAGATATGGGTTTTAACAAAAACAGAAGATTATTTGTAAATGCTTTGGAATTAGAGTTGGTCAAGGATTATATGACTTCTCGAGCCACAACATCAGGGTTACATTCATACATCCGTAATGCAATATTTAAATATTCTGGTCGGCCAATCCAACAACAACTAGATCCACCACCAATAAAAGAGGTCACTGTAAGTATTGCAAAAAACGAAAAACTCGTTATTTTTGCAAATTTTGCAAATCTTGGCTCTGCATGGAGCATATGACAGCAACTTGCGCGGAATATCCAGGAAATCATATCTAAATAATTAACGTATTTTAAGTTATTATAGTTTCTGTGCAGGGGGTTAATATTTAGTTTTGAGTTTATAAGTAAATTGTTTTACACATTCTTTATACAAAAACATAATTTTTGTTGTTCATTTAAATTTTTTTTTAGTTTTGTAAATTAGCAATATTATCAAAAATTAGTGTTTTTATTTGACGCCGTATATCTATACAAAAAAAAAGCAGAATTAACATTTTTTAAGACATATAGTATAAACATACATCAATAGGTATTACAAAAAAGAATTTTAATTTGTATGTACCAAAGGTTACAAACTTTTGGTCCTGACAGACCACCGTTGTGTACTCATGTAATTCTAAAAGCGGTCGTGCATCGGAGTGTTAAACGCAAATAACTTGAAAACAACTTAATGTATAAGATTAAGACAACAGGATAATATTTACGTAAAAAGTAACGAAAAATCAAAAAACATACTGAAATGATTATTAAGACAGTGGCGTATATTATGAAAGGGAAAAGGAAGTATTTATCTCTACAGCGCGCCTGTGATAAGAGCGGAAAACTATCTTTTAACGCCAGTTAAAGTATCCTAATATGTGTAAACTGTTTGTCAAGTTCGAACAAAAAATATTGGAAGGTGTGAAAACAATGGACAAAAATCATTTTAGAGTACTTGTAATAAACTTTTCTGCATTTCGGTACGGAAGAATCATGGACGTATAAACACAGATGGACTCAGTTATTTACATAAAATTGTGTAGTCAAAATTATTTGAATAGGTCACATTCTCAGCGCCTGCAACTGTTGTCACGTTTTGTTTTAAAATTTCTTATTCGCGAGTCGCTGAAAATATTACTCCGTATTTTATACTCTACAGGTGCTATCAAACCAAAATAATAATTTATTGGTTAGATTAATATATTTAATTGTAATCAAAATATCAATTGTGCACATAGTGTGCATTATCATTTAATAATAACGTATAATAGATATCAATCAATTATATTATATATAGAAGCACTGAAAACTATTTATAAATGGCAACGGTTGTTTACATTTCTCTGTCTTATGGATCTACGTCAAACTTTAAATGCTGTTCCATGTTTGTTTACTTTTTACAGTAGATGAGGACAAGTTGTTTTTCGATATTTTGGCTGTATTTTGAGTGATATTTGTGAAAAGTGAAATAAAATAAACGAAATATTTACATCCCGATCTCTCATTTCATTTGTAAGTACATACAATTTACATTATTTAAGATGAGGAAATGAGGAAGCGTGTTTGTTTACATTTTAATAGGCGTACCATTGGGTTTATTCATGTTCATTAATGTATTGAATAAGATATGAGTTCATGAAATTAGTAGACATTTTTAAATTGTAAGTAGACATCATCTGATTAAAAAAGATCTGTTTAGTACCTTTTTAATTTAATACTTCTCATAGATACAAATAAATTAGTGAAATGAATAAAACTCATTTGTTTTTCTATGTAGGTTTCCAAATAATATTGACGATCGAACTATTTGGGTAGCAAATTTAGGAGAAAACATAAAGATTTTTTATTGTAGCATTATTTTGATACCTAACTTAAAAAATTAACTTAAATTCAACTATATTTAATTGTATTAATTTTAGAGCAAATAAAATTGTATTTTAATTTTTCTATAAAGACGTGATTTGTTAATAGTTAAACTCTCGTTTTTTTTTAAATTTTTTGAACGTGTTTCTATACATTATTACTACTTCCAATTTTTAAAATCTGAATAATTACCCGTGAGTAAAAGTTCAAGCACGCTTATGCTCATTACGGAAGCATCACATTCTATCGAAGCTTCAAAACATTGTGTGTTAAAGATATCTTATTGCTGTGTCCATCTATGTTTATACGTCCATGGGAAGAATATTTTATTTTAAATGTTTATTTTAAGTAGGTTAAATCTTCTTCTGAGGAAATGGTTCTCCACAACAAATCTATTTAAAGCATCAGTTCATAAAATAATAATTATAGCCAGAATGATCGCCAATATTCGAAACGAATAGGCGCCAAAAAAAGAATAAGAAATCTTCGTATTTTGTGCTAAGGATACTTCAATTACTACGTATATAGACAATTTTTAATGAAACACCCCATATATTATAAGTTTCTAAGAAATAGTTTTTTGTAATATGTTATTAACAGTTAATTATTTAAAGATTTTTTAGTATGATCCAATTGTTTGTCTATACCTGTAGGTAAAACCGAATATATTAGAAATATTCTCCAGGATTCTGCGGCTATTACGGTACCTTTGCGGAGAAGTGGAACAGCACCTAGGAATTACTTCTATCATGATTTAAAAGGTTCTAATTGCATAGCATGTTTGTGTGTTTTTAGTCTTTTTTATAACATATTTTGTAGTTTTTATTTTGTTTATCAACAAGTGACTGCTTTGCATGGTAGATACAAATTGTGCTAAAATTGAGTCCAAATGACTCAATTTTATTTATTTCATAAAATGAAATTTATTTCATTATGAAATAAATATAATATAATAATATTCTTCTCATACCACCGGCACAATAGCTTAAGACTATCGTAGGATAATCGGTAATTTCTTGGAGCTACGGTGTACCAAAAAGTTAACACCTCATAGTATTACTCTCACGTTTTAGTTAAACCTTCTACCATGGACGTGGTGTCCACATGACCCCAATTTTTTATTTTTGTTCTTATAGGTTTGTGATTCGCAGCTACCTTTAAGTTACAATGACGTCGATCGCTTTACTTATTGATAAGTTTTTTAGTAGTGTGGTATTTAGTTTATAACTATTTAAAGTTTGAAAGGGGTCATTTTGGCACCACGTCAGTGTTTGTGAAAAATTTACGAAACTGGCAGGTTCATCCAAAACAGTATATTACGGTGATAACAACTATGAAGAAACTCTGTTAGCATGGCATGATGAGGTAGAAAGTAAAGTTAGCGATATGGAAGAGTCAGGTGGCTCTTTAAATGACATTAAAAGTGAGCATGATACACATTCGGTAGTAGAATATGATAGTGAGGGAGCTAGTGGTGACTTGTCTGACAAATCCGATTCTGAAAGTGGTGAAGAAGTTGAAAATGGAATGAATTTTTATGGTAAAGCTAGATTTAAGTGGTCGTCACAACCTTTTGTGCAGAGAACGAGAACAGAAAAACTTAATTTACTTTCATATTTACCAGAACTTCGTGGTGACGCCAAACAGTTGGGCAAAAGTGCATTGTCTTTACAAATATGGAGGTGTCTAATCGATAATGAGATTCTAGCTGAAATTTTTATACATACTAATCGAAACTTATCTGAGTTAAAAAGAAACTATAAGCGGCTTGATCAACCAGAACTGGAAGACCTTGATACTAAAGAACTTGAAGCCTTTTAGGCATATTGTACTACAGCTCGTGTTTTTAAATCAGACAACGAGGACATTCAGTGTTTGTTTACAACAGACGGAAGTGGCCATGATATATTCCGTTGTGTGATGTCTCAGGAAAGAATGCTAATGATTTTAAGCTGTCTACGTTTTGACAACCCCGAAGACTGAGCGGAAAGAAAAGAAATCCTGCTGCAGCAATATCAGGTATTTTTAATAAATTTATAAATAATTGTCAGAAACAGTACTGTATGGGCCATTACACCTGTATTGATGAGACGCTTATACGTTTTAGAGGGCGTATAAAGTTTTGCATGTACTTACTAAATAAACCCAACAAATATGGTCTGAAGGTCTTGATTTTGACTGATGCCCGTGCTCATTATTTTTTCAATGGATATATTTATACCGGCAAAGGCAGCGATGGCAAATTATTAACAGATGAAGAAAGACGTTTGGCTGTACCAACCCCTATACAACCTATTATAAATACGAACAGAAATGTAACTGCAGACAATTGGTTCTTCTCTGTTGAACTTGCAAATGAGTTGCGACAAAGGGAATTAAAGTATGTAGGTACGAAGAACAAGAAAGAAATTCCCACCGTATTTTTGCCCGACCGGAAGAGAGGAGTAGGGAGTTGTATCTACGGTTTTACTAAACATATTACAATTATGTCTTATGTTTCAAAGAAATACAAGGCTGTACTTTTAGTTTCTACGATGCATCAATAAAAATACACTGACATTAAAACTGGCAAACCTGAAATTATTCTCTATAATGAAACCAAAGGGGGCGTAGATGCCCTGGATAAAAATGTGCAATTTATAGTTCAAGTAGACGTACAGTATTGTGCGAATTAATGGAATCATAGGCTGTTTTATTGAAAAAAACAGTTTATTTAGTAAAAAATTATATTTTGACAAAACTATAAAGTAGGTAAAGAAATAATAATAAGACTTACTCACAATCAATTTAATTTAACAATCTGACGACCGGTTTCGCTTTCTATAATTTGCAAAGCATCTTCAGGTCGAGATACAAAGTTAAACTAATGCTGCAATAAAATAAACCCAATTAGGGTGGTGTCTCATAAAGATAAAATAAACAAATAAATAAATTAGTTCATACAAATTATAATAATTATGCCAATATTACATGTCTGTGGTTTTCAAAATGAATAATTTGAATATATAAAAGGTAGTAACAGACAAGGTAAGGCCCACAATTGGTATAAAGTAGCAATCTTTTGTTGTAATAAATTAATAAATGAGCAAATAAATAAAACAAAACAAAACAAACATTACTTACATGCCGGTACTCTATTAATTGATGGATGGTAGGTCATGGTTGCAAAAATCATGTATTGTTGATTGGAGAACTTTAATGAGCTATTGCAGTTGTTTTTACAATAAACGGGAAGTTCTTGAGGAGAACAGATTTGATCCAATGAATTAGAGATAGGTATATTGTTGTTGTTTGTCAGATGAAAGTGATGTTCTTTACTATTGTATTAATTAAATTATTTACACTTATAACAGAGATATATTTTTTGGAATGTGTGTTATTTATTGAGTATTTATGTAATGAAGGAGACATGTCTCCTTCATTACATAAATACTCAATAAATAACACACATTCCAAAAAATATATCTCTGTTATAAGTGTAAATAATTTAAATAATACAATAGTAAAGAACATCACTTTCATCTGACAAACAACAACAATATACCTATCTCTAATTCATTGGATCAAATCTGTTCTCCTCAAGAACTTCCCGTTTATTGTAAAAACAACTGCAATAGCTCATTAAAGTTCTCCAATCAACAATACATGATTTTTGCAACCATGACCTACCATCCATCAATTAATAGAGTACCGGCATGTAAGTAATGTTTGTTTTGTTTTGTTTTATTTATTTGCTCATTTATTAATTTATTACAACAAAAGATTGCTACTTTATACCAATTGTGGGCCTTACCTTGTCTGTTACTACCTTTTATATATTCAAATTATTCATTTTGAAAACCACAGACATGTAATATTGGCATAATTACTATAATTTGTATGAACTAATTTATTTATTTGTTTATTTTATCTTTATGAGACACCACCCTAATTGGGTTTATTTTATTGCAGCATTAGTTTAACTTTGTATCTCGACCTGAAGATGCTTTGCAAATTATAGAAAGCGAAACCGGTCGTCAGATTGTTAAATTAAATTGATTGTGAGTAAGTCTTATTATTATTTCTTTACCTATTTGATATGGACTCACACAAGCAACACATTCATGATTTTAAAACTATAAAGGTAAACTTACATCATTCAGTAGAAAATATGTCCCCCTTTGGCAGCAATTACTGCTTTTACCCGTTTTGGCATAGATTCTATGAGTTTCTGGCAGTTGTCAGATATCCTTTTATCTCGATACCAAACCTGAATGGCAACTTCTATCATTTTTGTTTTAGTGGTACAGTCGATATTTCGCAGTCTAGCTTTGCAAATGGCCCATCAATTTTCAATGGGGTTGAGGTCGGGCGAATTACCGGGCCAATCTAAAACATTAATCTTCTTATTTTTGAAAAATGCCATCATTTCCTTTGATTTGTGACAGGGAGCAGAGTCCTGTTGAAGAATCGCTCCTCCTTGGGGTTGACATTTTTGGAGTTGTTTGTCCAAATACTTTTCCAACATGGATTTATATTTTTGGCTGTTCATCGTGCCTTCAATTGGCACCAAAGATCCAACCCCATGTATGAAAAACATCCCCAAAACATTTTCTTGACTGGATGTTTTACGGTTTGATCAATATGAGATGGTGTAAGCTTTTCATTGTCAGACTTCCTGACGAATTTCGACCGCTGTCCTGAACTATAAAGTGGGTTTCATCTGTAAATAGGACTTTTTTCCAGTCGCCTACAGTCCAATTAGAGTATTTTTTGGCCCACAGTAGCCTTTGTTTCTTCATTCGTTCAGTTAGAAGCTGTTTTTCTGTGGACGAATTGCCCTTCTACAATTCTCCAAAAGTCTTCTACGAACAGTTGAGTCATGAATCACTATAGCTGATGCTGCTAGATCTTGTTGTAGATCTTGTTGGCTTGATTTTCTTGGTCCAATTTGCTCTTTCGAAGTAAAAATCTATCATTTTCTGGTGTTCTTTTTCTCTTTCTTCCACATTTTCCTAATCTTTTCACATCCACTGATCCCGTTTCTCGTTTACGCTTCAAAATTTTGCTTACTACCCCCTGACTCACTCCACACGTTCTAGCAATCTCTCTTTGTGACATACTAGTGTGTTCACTCAACGTGACAATCTTTTCACGCGTCCTAGGCATAATATCCATGTTGGAATAAAACCAAAAACAACACAAAATAGTACAAAAACCTCCAAAACAACACTAGCATGGTAAGAAATGACCTAAAACACACTCAAACACATCAACACACAGTAAGGTTATGTTTTCAATGCTTGGTCAGCTGTCAACTGTGTAGGTAGTGTTGCCAACTGTGAATATTGAAAAAATGAAAAAAAAATCACAGTGATTCCATTAATTCGCACAATACTGTACTATACGTTGGCCTATGGTGGTATTTTATGCCATCATCGACATCGCAGAAGTTAATTCATATAAATTACACCAAAGCTATCCAGAAGAAATAACATACTACGAGCAGAATTTGTGAAGCTGCTCGCCAAACAACTCGTTGAACGATATTTGAATAGAAGAATTATCAACCAAAGACTTCCAAGAGAATTGAGAATGAACATCAGTAGAATACTGAACAAACCGATGATTGATGAAAACGTGCATCCGATATGAACCAAAACGAAAAAGATGTGGGCTGTGTCCATGAAAAAAATGATAAAAAGACTAAGAATTCATGTGATTTTTGTAAGATATCCATGTGTGATACCTTTAGAGCTAATATTTGCAAAGGATGTGAAAA